AGATATATTGTTCGTGATATTGAAATATTTGTTATTTTTGTATTAGGTGACTTGTATAAGTAAATATTTAGATTTACCTTTTTGTAGGTGAAACATAAAAAATACGTAGCATTTTATTATTTATTGCCCTCAAATGGTTCAAATTTGTCTCTTTTTCGGTGGAGAACTTTTTTAGTAGCAACACTTACGAAATGTCAGAATTCTACGGAATGAAAAATCAGAGTTTAGTCCGGCCTGGGAGTCGAACCCAAGACCTTCATATCATTAATTCGACATTTGTTAAAGATTTAACTAAGCATTCTCTTATCAGAGCGTCGTTGCTCGTGACTGCCCCTTTTTTCATAGCAACGTCATCGGTTGATTTAATAAACTGAAACATTTTTATAGGCGCGTCGCCAACAATCTCCCCCCCGTGCGTTAGCACCATCATTTGGGAGGCGTCGCGGGTACCAGGACTATTATTCTGGATGTAGGTCTCCTCAAGATACCTGTGCTAGTAATGACGTCAACCACTCTGGTGTGACCGTCTGGTCCCGGTAACGTTCTATTAATTTTACCTTTTGGCCACGTATTTCGTGGCAACGAATGATCTATTATCAAAACAATATCGCCTTCTTTAGGTTCCATGAACTTGCCGTTATCACCTGTTCGAGGTATTAACATAGGCATGTATTCTTTCAGCCATCTTGTCCAAAAATGGTCGGCTAACCTCTGTGCAGCTTTCCAATTGAGTTGACCCGTCAGATGTCGCTCTAAAAATAATCCAGGTGGTCGATCACCACATGAGCGTCCCAGAAGAAAATGATTGGGTGTCAAACCCTCTTCAGGACTATCCATACTGAATGTTACCAGAGGTCTGGAATTTACCGTATGCTCTGCTTCTAAAAGTAACGTATGTAGAACCTCCTCTCGTGGGCTCTTCTCTTTAAGCGTAGCGGTCAACGCAATTTTAATCGATCTTACTAACCTCTCCCAGGCGCCACCCATGTGCGGTGCTCCCGGAGGTATAAATTTCCATTTAATATATTTCTTAAATGACTCGTTTTTCATGCCCTCATAGCATTCTTCGCATGCTTTCAATAATTCTTTATTTGCAGCTTTGAAATTTGTCCCGTTATCGCTGTATATAACGGCTGGTTTTCCTCTTCTGGCGATAAATCGCCTTAACGCCATTATCATTGACGCTGGTGTCAATGAGGCTGCTAATTCCAGATGTTCTGCTCTGGTGGTCAGACACGTGAATAAAACGCCCCAACGTTTTTCGTGTCGCCTTCCTATAGTCACACTCATAGGACCAAAATAATCTACAGCTGAGCATGTAAAAGGTGGCTCATGATGAGCTATTCTTTCCAGAGGAATATTTCCTTGTGGCACGTTTTGCGGCTTTGACCTGTATGTCCTGCACCACTGACAATGGTGTGACACACTTCGTACTACATTACGCAAGTTCAAGACGTAAAATTTCTGGTTCACCTCATTCATCACCGTCTGGTGATTGGCGTGTCCAAAATGATGATGAACTTCTCTAATCATCATTTTAACGATTTCGTGTTTACCGTCTAATATGACAGGTTTTCTACTTTCCTCGGTCAAATTAGACTTGAAAGGTAAACGTCCATTTAAACGGAGTAAGTTATCCTCTCCTATTTCCATAGATAATTTACTTAAGCGTGAACTTCTTTCAACGCTTTTGCCTGCTTTCAAACATTTTATTTCCGAATGAAAACACTCGTCTTGAATGAATTTCCAAATTAATATTTCCGCCTTTTTTCAAGAGCGCTGTGTCCAACGCGCTATCGGGTCCTTTAACCGACTTTGCTAAAACTTTGTTGGAACACATAACCGACTTTTCGGTTGCGTCGTCGGGTCCTTTAACCGACTTTCTTAAACTCTTGAATTTTTCTACCGCTTGTAAGGTGCGTGTAGTTGCTCCAAGGAATTTCTTAAAGCTGCTAAATCGTCCGTAGTCGGGTAGACTTAACGGTTCTTGCTTTCTTAACGTATTTACGCCCTTTGGCGATTTTTTCTTCACCTGTTTCTAAGCTATTTATGGTGTCCACTTGTTTGGGCCATAAATCAGGACTTTTCCTGAGGAATTCAGGTCCTTGAAACCAGCGATGACTTACATCGAAGGTGGAAGGAAAATTTCTAGTGGCGTCGTCTGCCACGTTTTGTGACGTTGGAACCCATCGCCATTCACATGGCTTACTGTGATCTTCGATCTCAGCCAATCGATGAGCAACGAATGGTTTAAAAGCGCGAGGATCCGACTTAATCCACGCTAACACTGTACGTGAGTCTGTCCAAAACACTCTCTCGGACATCTCGTACTTGCTCTCTTCACTAACCGAAGCAGCCAGTCTGCTGCCCATAAGAGCTGCTTGCAATTCAAGCCTTGGAATCGAAATTGGTTTCAATGGCGCTACTCTTGCCTTTGCGGCGATCAGCGTAATCCGCCTTATTCCTTGCTCGTCCGTGGTGACGTAATACACCGCGGCAGCGTATGCTTTTTCACTAGCATCCGTGAAAGTATGTAACTCTCCTTTGCCGATGCCTTCAGCAACGGGTCTAGGTACTTCTAAGTGACCTAATTTCTTCACTTCCGATATCCATTTACAAAATAACACGTGTAACTCGTGTGAAACTTCTTCATCCCAAGAGATGCCTGTCCTCCATACTTGCTGGATCAGCGACTTCCCTTGAATCGTTATGGGTGATGCGAGTCCCAAAGGATCGAAGACTGACATCACAGCGCTAGTTATCTCCCTCTTCGTAGGCGGTCGTAAACCCTCCATCACCTCTTCCGGTGTGCTACGAGGACTTGTGGAAAAACTTATTATATCCCGTTTGATATTCCAAATCAAACCTAACGTGCGCTCTGTGTGCTCTTTATCTCCAAGCGAAGCACTGTCGCTCTTATATTTATTTTCCATATTACTTAAAACTTCGGGTCGGTTGCTAGCCCATCCCCTCAGTTGGAAAGAAGCATGCTTATGTAATTCATACATATCGTTTACTATCCTTTCGGCCGTCGTCACGTCGGGAAATGCCTGTAGGTAATCATCCATATAAAAATTGCTTTCCGTAGCGGAAGCTGCTTCTGGATAGATATGTGCGTTGTCCTGCGCATTTCTATTCTTTACATATATAGCGATGCATGGTGATGATGCCGCTCCAAATATGAGTGACGTCATTCTATACTCTTCCGGTGGCGCGTCACGATTGTGCCGCCATAAGAATCGAAGGCTATCCCTGTCTTCTTCCCGGATTTTCACTTGCAGGAACATTTCCTTAATGTCTGCCATTACTGCCACGCTTCCTTCTCTGAATCGTAGCAGAACTCCGAACAACGACTTCAATAAGTCCGGTCCGGTCAACAACGCATCGTTAAGACAACGTCCGCCCGTCCTTGCGGCGGCGTCGAAAACTATCCTTATTTTCTTCTTTTGTGGGTGAGTCACTGCGAAGTGAGGAAGGTACCACGTACGTGGGGAAATGGAAATATGGTTCGCTTTCTCTGTGTAACCGTTAACGATGAGATTTTCAATTTGCTTCTCGTATTCCTTTTTCAACTCGCTATTTTTGTCGAGCTTTTTCTCAATATTAAACAGGCGACTTTCAACCTGTGCCCTATTCGATGGCAAGCACTCATTGTCTGTGCGCCATAACAAAGCAGTCTCGTACCTATTATTAGGTATACGACGTACCGTTTTGTTCAAAATATTTAAAGCTCGTTCTTCTGGGTCGTTCACGGGCTTTCTAGCCGATACTCCCAGAGATTCCAAACTAAAATAATCCTTGATTAATTTATCCATATCTTCCTCCTTCTTGGTGGAAATGTGGTTAACAATCTTGATTGGTTTAATGCCACCCGATATGTGACCATGCAAAACCCACCCCAGTTTGGTGAGCGATGCTACAGGTAGGTTCTTACCTCCCGAAACCAATTCACGAGTAACTATGAGATGCCAATTGTCCTGACCAATCAATATGGTAGGCTTGGACCTCTCATACATCAACTCATCCTTGATCGGTGTCAAATGAGAACACCGTTGCAATAATTCTCGGCTTACCGACTGAGGAGCGAGGTTAAGTGACTTAATTGTTTGTACACTTATCTCTTCTAAGTCGCTCGAATAAATGCCTTTTATTTTAACGTTTAAGCGATACGAACTATCGTCGTTAATTCGCTTACCTCCCACGGCTTCGATACGTAATCCCTCTTTACGTCCGCGAGGCGCTAACTTCTGAGCCATCCACTCCTCTATGAGTGTCATGGTCGATCCCTCATCCAGAAGAGCTGTTGTCTTGACCTTTCCTCTAGGCCCATGCAACTCGACCGGTATGATCTTTAAATATGCACATGCCAGTGCATTTACTGTACTAACAGTTGTAATCTGAGCATCTTTACCCCCCCTCGTCCCCTTGTGGCGAGGTATTTTCATTGGGGTATCGGTGTAGCATTCGATGATGTGACATTCTACATCCTTCTACACCACATTTTTTTCGCTTTGCACTCTAACCTCCTATGGTTAGGTGACAAACATTGGAAACATACTTTGGCCTTTTTGACGGCTTCCCATTTCTCGCGAATATTCATGTCCTTAAACTTGTAACAACTCACTATAGAGTGCTCCTTGTTGCATATAACACACTTATGTGTTACCCGACTTACAGGCTTGTCCTGGGTTATCATAACCACTTGTCGGTTGTGCCTTTTATTATTTCGGCGTTCTAAACGCTCGCTCATATTACTTCGGCGCATATAGCGCTCGCTCTCGGCACAGCTGCGTACACCTCCCTTTGCAGTGTGTACAGTTTGCTTCCTGAATTCAGGACGCTTCCTTTTTTCAGGCGCATTTTCATTGCTCAAGGACGTTCCAAATTGTTCACTCAATAAATTTAAAAACTTGGCCATCTTCTGTAACTCTGGCTCCAAAGGATATTGAGCTCGATATTCAAACCATTTAAATTTAATCATAGTTCCAAGTTTCTCCACTATGCGGCTCACTAACTCCGGTGAGTATAAATACTGTGGTTGATTCAACGCTTGTATTGTGGCAACCACGTTCGTAATACGACTTGCAAAAGATCCTATATTTCGACAATCTTCTGCCAATCTTGGCATACGCTTTACATTCTCGATTTCGGCTAGAATGAGCATCTCAACCCTACCGAATCTTCTTTCGAGAGCGTTCATTATTTCTTCAGGTTCACATAAAGTAAATAACAGCGACTTAACCGCCTCTTTAGCGGTGCCTTTTAATGCCCTCCTAAGGCGTGCGACATTTTGCACCCCTGAAAATTGGCCTTTTGTGTCTTCAAACACCGTTTTGAAAATTATCCATTCACCCGGGTCTCCATCGAACACCGGTAATTCCTGGAGGAAATGAAGCTGGGAAGATTTATCTTTACCAGCTATTTTTATTGCACTCACAATCGCTTCGGTCAATTCTGACACCTCACTCGCGTGTGTTTTCTGTGCATTTCCTAGGTTGCGCTCGACCTCCGCCCCTTTGCGGCGTGATCCTTTACACGCTTCCTTATCAGTAATATCGGGTTGTGCTACACTAACCGGCGCGCTCATTATGGTTTGCTGAACCCAACTCCTTACGAAAGGTTCCACCTGAGTATTCCGCTCTTCACCATCCTCACTCGAGTCGATCTCCTCTTCTCGGTTGAGTCGTGCCAACTCCAATTGAGACTTGGCTAAGGCAGCAGCTGCCTGTGCTCGTTCGAGCTCTGAGCGTTCGAATTTAATCCGCGCCTCTAATTCGGCTTTCAGCCTCGCCGATCGCGATGACCTACTACCTCTCTGTGACCCTTTATCACTAGTGTGCCCGATTACTGTCCTTGACGATGCCGCTTCTTCGGTCCTTTGACCTACTTTTTCGACCACCGTTTCACTCCTGGATATAACGGATTGTTGTGCGGTGCTGGCCTGTGTACCACTGGTGTCCGTCCTGTTGCTCGTCGTTGCCACGGACGTCCCTGAGTCCCACGTGCATGTGGACGTGTCTGTGGTGGCTCCACTTGGAGGAGTTGCTCCATTTGACGCAGTAGCTGTGGTCGCTCCAGATGATTCCGCTTCTTTAGCTTTTCTTGAGAGCCCTGTCCTTGTCCTGCTCCCTTCGCTTCTCCCTGTCTGGTCTTGTGCCTTCTTCATCTTGCAGGAAGGTGATTGTTGGCCTACGGTCCCTAACTGTCCCTACAGTCCTTTACCTACAACCCTTCTACACCCCAACCTAACACCACTACCCCTCCCCCCTTTATCTCCCAACCCTACAACCCTACTACCACCCTAACAGCCCTATCAGCCCTATCAATCCTGAACGGGGCCTACCGAGGTGAGCCGTCCAGGGATGGAGTCGTGCAGGAATGGAATGGAGGAAAGGTTTAGGAACTGTCCCGCCAAGGAATATGACGAAACAGTCGAGCGGTAGTGCAAGCGCAGTCTCGCTCGAGAGAACTGCTCCACCCGAAGGTGTTATGCCAGAGCCCAACCGTTTGGCACCGTTAGGTGGTCGGGATGTATGCTGTGCTCGCCGCCCAGTTGCCGGTGACGCCTCGTCCAAGCGCCCTCCTCCGGCCGCGATGCAGTCAGGTGCCCACGCGCACCCTCGCCCGGCAGCAGCAGCGGTGGATGCTTTTGCACCCTGATGACCCGACGGGAAATGCCGGACACGGTCGTCCGACAGGAAATGCCAGACACGATCGTCTGACAGGAAATGCCGAGCACGCTTGCCCGACAGGAAAAATGCCAAGCCCTGCTTGGCCACGATGAGTGCCTTCACAAGACACCTGCGCCCGGCTGCGATATGTGCCCCATGCGAGCACACGCCCCAAGCTGCAATCCCGGTTTTCTTTCTTCCGGTAGTTCCAGGTCCAGCCCTTCAGTGCTGCCGTCCTGGTCTTCAGGCCTTTGGTCCTATTGCTTCAGCTCAAACCTCTGGCTTCCTTCGGTTGCTGATCTTCACTCGGCTTCCGAAGGTCTTCTTCTTCCACAACCAGCAGTCCACAGCTGGTTCCTTGATCCAGCTGGCGGGGTTCGGGTGGTCTTCAATCCGGCTCGAAGGACCAATTGAAAAGGAACTCAGGTTCGGGCGTCCTCTCAATCGGCCGCAAAGGACCAATTGAAAAGGACCAGGTCGGTGTCCCTCTTGATCCTGAAAAGGACCAATTGAAAAGGACCTAGCGGATCGGGTACTAAGAAACAGGAATCGAGGCTTCTCTCGATCCGGCCTCCTATCACGCCTACGTTGGGTTCGGGAACAACGTATGTGATCTCCGCAACGGAGTAACACACTAGGGCGATAACCTCTTCCTTTTCAGCAAGTAGGTTCAGACGGGGATTACGGGTCTTCCGAAGTCGTCCCGGTCCCGACGCCTTAATTCTTCGATGTGGACTGTATAACTTAAAGGATCCTGGGAATGAAACAGCAATTATCTTCAAACCGTTCCGTGAGAGAGTAATCACTTTTCCCTATACTGCTGGTTTTTCACTTTTCTTGAACTTTTTCTCGGATTTTCTTATTTATTTCCGAACTATTTCCGAACTTCCCCGGAGGATTCCCGAACGATTCCCGAACGAATTGCAATAAAACCCGTTCACTAAGCTACCCCAGAGCTATACGCGAAAGTGAGCCGCGCCATCTGCGCGCTTGCGCAACTTAATTACATGAATTTGTACTATTACTCTCTCACGTTTCACTCAATATCTTTATTTATTCAAATCATATACAAATACAATTTATCAATATAGGTAGTACAAAACAATATCTACACCATGATATACATCATATCCTCATATCATAAAAAACCTTTTATTTATTAAACGAAAACTGCCTATTTTACTCACAAGTTCGAAATCGAAATTTCTTAAATATTTAACACAGAAAGTTAAAACAATGTTTCTCACTTGAATTTATACATAAGCTAACCAATACAATAGTTTAATTTACATTTTTTCTATTTATTTCACTATTTAAAACACTTTTAAATTTCTTATACAAAACTATCATTATTTCACTTATACACAGGAATTTTCACATGAAAATAACACAGAATTTACCTTTTTAGCACGTACAATTAACCTGAAATATTTTACAAGTAATTTTTACATAAATCACTGAATTACAAACATTTTAAATTTTTACATATTCGGCCTCCTAAGGGCGTGGCCAGCGTGCTTCCGTGTACTCACGCTATGTGAACAACTAACTTTGCACGGCTCTCGGCTATCAGAAAAAATTAAATTATGAAATACACCAATTTTGACCACATTAGGCAAATTAAATGCTTTTATACAATTTTCGAACTGTATGAAACTATCTTTAATCAGATAACAATATAAATGAATGTTCTCATTAATCAATCATAACAAATAGGCATTTGTTTTCGTACAAAACGTATCAAACTTATACAAAACAACATTTATGCAATTAATATCCATTAATTCTGCCTATGCACAGAGTGATTATCTCGACCGGGGAACAAATCCGGTAACATAATTTATATCTTAAATTCCTTACGAATTTATTAAGCGATATTACTTAGGAAAACAAACAAACTAGTCCGGCCTGGGAGTCGAACCCAAGACCTTCATATCATTAATTCGACATTTCTTAAAGATTTAACTAAGCATTCTCTTATCAGAGCGTCGTTGCTCGTGACTGCCCCTTTTTTCATAGCAACGTCATCGGTTGATTTAATAAACTGAAACATTTTTATAGGCGCGTCGCCAACACTTACTATCGACTTAAAACTGTTTATTTACTACAAAAAATAAATAAAGCGTTTTGAATTGAGACTATTGAGAAATGTTTCAGTTATACGCGTAATTCAAATTAAAGTAACATTAGTGTGACTTCTGTTGTTGCAGATTAGATGACAAATAACATATTGTGGTTGTAAAATTATAAATATAACAGAAATGAACTTTTAGATACAGTTGCGTCAACGAAATTGACTATTATGCTATGCGTAAATGAACTATGAACTTCTTGGGGGTGGCGTGGACTTGTGAAAGGCTGTAATGATGATGATGATGATGAACTTCTGCATCGTTCATTAGCAATAGTAGTCCACGATGTAACTAGGATCACTCGCTTTCGTTTGTAATATAATACTTCATAGTGAACTTTGTGATTGGTGGCGTGCCCAAAATATTGTATAGCGTGCCATTGGTTTGCCATCCCTTTCTTGTATCGTTGACTAGGGCTGGTCGCTAGTTCTCAACCGAAGAAATCTTTCAATGTCTTCGTTATATAAAAACTAATAAAAAATATTTTATAATTGCCGCCTTGCAGATACGTTTACCCCCCAATCGGGTTTACGTTTGCGACGTTCTAAGTTCTTCAAAAGGCAGAATCGTGTGCCGGATGAACGAGATTTGAAGAAGCAAGTTTCTGAACCCGCGCCCTCTTCGGAGCTCCCCGTTTTAAAAAAACACAAGTCATATCCACAATATGGCGCAAATAAGGTATGTTTAATTTATTTACATCTATTCATCTATGCATATAAAGAAAATTGAAGTATCTTTTATTGAACTAAGGGCGTTATTTGCATTTTTAAAAATTTGTCTTTCCATCGATTTGTCTGTATGTCCGGGCAAATCTTAGAATGGCTGTGGCCTAGTGACCAAGGCTTATTTTATCAGGAAATCTTGATTGCAAAAAAAAAAAACGAAAAACTGATAGAATAAATGGTCTTTGGTGATTATATTAAATCTAAATAACGTCATATCCAGGCGAAGCTGGGACAAGTCATAGCTTCTTTTAATAAAATGGTGAAACGTTTACAATAATAGTTGTTTATTATGTACATAGTTTGACGGCACAGTAGTGCAATGGCTAAGTAATAGGCTGCGACACCACGTGGGATTTCGGTCCGTTGGTTTTTTATAGCAAAGGCGTCTATAATCGCCTCTGAGCCACTGCCCTCCCGAGCCGATATCTTTACTGTTGTTTAATTCTCATAATATAACAATCTCACAGCGTTTTTTTGTAATCTATTACTAGAATCGGCGTTTAAAACCTCAGGAGCGGGAAGTTGGGTCGCTTCTTATAAGACTCGTTGATCGGAAGTCTTTGACCACCACGTCCACTTCAACGTCGTTTGAAGCGTCGATTTCCGATAGTACTGTGCATACTCAACGCGCAAGCCATACGCCAGCGGTACGTGATGGTCCGCCGCTCAGCTGCAACTTCTGTTGGAACACTGTCGACGAATGTGGTAGGATATTACGCCGTAAAACACAGTATCACTGTCCCGAATGTCGCACTAATCTATGCATAGTGCCGTGCTTCCATGAATATCATGATTTACCTGAGTCCGAAGCATCTGCCAGTGCAAGATGAATCATCTCAAATAATAACGTCTCGGTGTTGCTTTCAAACAAAGTACTCGGTGTTATAAATTCGCCGATTGTTGTATAACTTAGGACACTTTTTTCGCGCAGCTCAATTGAAATGTAATGTATTTTTACGATCGGAAAAATATCTATTAATAATTCTGTAACCTAGTATCGTATATTTCGATTGTGATTGTGACAGACTGATGAATTTCGCCCTGTGTATATTTTAGATCATATTTTTTTTATAATATGGGGTGTACACTTTCGTGACACTGAGATTTATAAGTATGTATAGTTTCTCTGTCGCTTAGTTTCGCTAATGTACACAAGTGGCAACGTTTGTGACGAGTATCACTTTCTGTGCTGCTTCATGTCTTAACAACTGTTTATAATAATTTTCGAATTGTCATTTCATACGAAAAACGGTGTACAATTTATAAATATATTTAAAAAAAGGTATTTTTAGTCGGAAATGTAACAATAATAACCTTCAGTTATAAACATGCGTTAGTTATTTTTAATCTGTTAATTAATAAACATTTTTCTCCGTGTAACCTTTCCTTGTTCAATTGCTACTCATTCATAAAAATATTTTTTATTAAGTTAAATTGAAGACAGTAAAGAGAAAAATGTTGCGTTATAGCATATAACATAAATGGTTAAATAACATTAGATATCTTTTTGAATATTAATTTTTAATAACAGTATTGTATTATTATTACAAAAGCTTATTAAGCGTATTATTTATTATTCTATTAATATTTTACTTGCCACTGAGTGACCACATTTGAGTCAAACTACTTTTAGTGCATCAGATCAAATGTATTATGTGTATTTAATACTTGTACAAAAATCATATAAGTAAGCAAGTTATAAAATAATCAAAATAATAATATGCGTGATTATGTGCGATCAACTGAAGAGTAGACAGGTAATATAGGATGTCCTGTTTATAATAGTCCAAACGAAACGTGGCGAGAGATGGGAAAAATAGCTATATCAACTGAACTACCTCCGTGAGCAATATTAGATCACAAAGGGGGATAAACTGTTCATCCAGTTCCTGCTTCATTTTCGACAATTCTTCTGGAAATTAATAAAGTTAATGAAGGGAGTAATAATCAAAATCTTATATTATTTATTCGTGGGAAAGCTATAATGAGGTCGTGCCCTATGAGAACAGCCATTTTTTTAAAATCTGTTACAGTTAGTTTTCAAGACTTTTAAATTTTCATAATTTTATAGAAATAGCAAAGACGTAGTTTTTTTTATTGAATATAATTTCCGACTAGATGTGTAACTATATATGTATTGCAGTTTAAAAACAACATGAACGCTTTATTTAGAAGAAAATATTAAAGTTTGATGCCCATTGGTTTGAAAAATAGTTTTTATAAAACAAAAAGTTATTGTTATTTCATTGCTGAAGGTCCTAATTTTTCGATTAAAGTTTTTTGTTTTATTTTGCAATAGATCTCAAAATATTGTAAAAATTAGAGATTGTATCCAAAATTAGAGAGGTGGAATCAAAACAGATTTGTGAGATAATAATAGATGTGTAAAAACACTAATAACATGACGAATAATATTATGAAAAAAAAAAAACAAAAAGAATTAGTATTATATAATAAACATTTATATACTAAACATATAATGTTATAAATGTAGGAGAATAGCCTACATCACTCCCCCCAGAGACCATACTTTGGGCGATAATATGCCGGAAACCGAACTCGGCGTCCAGAGCGTGTTACGCTTGTGTTTCAATGTGTGGTGTTGGTGTATGAATAATTGAGTCATGTGGTGCGTGTAGAGTGCGTTTGTCTGAAAGTATGTAGGCCGATTTGAGTCAGTCTATCGGTAAGCCAATCCCGAGAACATACCACAGGGTTCTTCGTATCGAAAGTAGATTTAAACTCTGAAGCTCATCTTCAAGGTTTAAAGGTTGGCGATCAAATAATGGGTGTGAATGGATAGCGGGTGGACGACGCCATGGACACGCTGAGTTAGTACACTACCTCACTTCGCAGTCCAGACTGAAGATTAAATTGCGACATGTCAGCATGATATCTGTCAAGGAGTACGTGGAGGGAGTACGTGCCTCTGTCTTGGCAATTCGTGTCGGAGCGCACGTCGCTTTCATCCCATGTGTCTTCGTCGCCGACACTGTGCCATAACAAGGGCCACTTCACCTCGCGCCGTAAAAGGACAACGGTTGACGCCCGTGCGGAGATTATAGGATGCTCAACGCCCGCACGATCCCTAACAGGTATCCAATCAGATATATACACGACTGTACCCACAGTATAGCTGGTTGTAAGGTCTTCAGGATTTGGTTAAGGCTTATAAGCAAATACCTGTCAGTGAGTGCGACATCCCAAAAACAAAAATAACCACACCAGTTCCCGTACATGTCGTTTGGTTTGTGCAACGCGGCGCAAACCTTCCAACGATTCGTGGATGAGATGACCAGGGGCTTAGAGTTTTGCTACTGTTTTCTCGACGACATTCTAGTGTATTCACGAAACGAAGAGGAGCACGAAAAACATCTTCGCGAAATATTTGATAGACTCAAAAGATACGGGATGCTTATAAACACCTCCAAGTGTATTGTTAGTGCTGACGAAGTGACTTTCCTTGGTTACAGTATTTCGGAAAGTGGTACCAAGCCCCTTCAAGAAAAGGTACAGGCCATTCTTGAGTACCCACAATCCAAGGATGTACGTCAGCTGAGGAGATTTTTGGATATCATCAAATTTTATAGGCGATTCCTGCCCAATGCTGCCCAAATTCAAGCCCCTCTTAACAACCTCCTCACTGGTGCTGTTAAAGGTCGTCAGCCAATAACTTTGACAGATGAGGAAGTCAAAGCCTTTGAGGACTGCAAACGTAGTCTCTCTAGTGCAGCTTTGTTAGCCCACCCAGACTAAATTGGCATTGGTTACAGATGCTTCGGACGTGGCTATAGGTGCTGTTCTTCAGCAACTCAAAGACGGAGCTTGGCAACCACTTGCGTCCTTTTCACGTAGGTTGAGCCCAACTCATCAGAGGTATTCCCCATATGACAGAAAGTTATTAGCTATATATGAAGCTATTAAATAATTTCGTCATATGATGGAGGCGAGACACTTTATCGTCTATACTGACCATAAACCGATCAGTTTTGCATTCCATAAAAGGAACGACAACTGCTCGCCTCGTCAGTAGACAGTTAGACTTTATAGCCCAGTTCACAACCGACATAAGGCATATATCTGGCAAAGATAACATTGTTTCCGACACCTTAAGTCGTGTTGAGAAATTGGAAGCGCCCGTCGATCTCGCCACCTTAGCTGAGTCTCAAGCCAATGACGTAGAACTTGCTCAACTTACGAAGGCTGGTTCGTCATCACTCCGCTTTGAACAGTACAATATTCCTGGTTGCAGTACTACATTGTACTGTGACATAAATACGCCTGGCCGTAGACCATTTGTTCCCAAGCAAGTCTTTTTCAACTTGTTCGCAAACAAGTCTTTGACAGCCTTCATTCCCTGAGCCATCCAGGAGCGAATGCTACTGCTCAAATTGTAGCAGAACGCTACGTCTGGCCAGGTGTGAGGAAGGACTGTCGAGACTGGGCTAAATCTTGTGTTGCCTGTCAGCGTTCCAAGATAAGCCCACACGTATCCTCGCCTTGGGGTCCTTTCACTTTACCTCGCACGCGTTTTAGGCACGTCCATATAGACCTCATAGGTCCACTTCCTTTGTCGAAAGGCTACCGCTACTGCCTCACAGCAATCGACCGTTTTACGCGATGGCCAGATAGTACCAATAGCCGATATTACAGCCGGAACGGTCGCAGAAGCTTTACTATTCCGTTGGATTGCCCGCTATGGTTGTCCTGAAGAAATTGTCACAGACCGAGGTCGACAATTTTAGTCGGCCCTGTTTTAATTCCTTTCAAAAACTGCTGGATTTCAACATAAGCGCACTATAGCTTATCATCCGGCGTCCAATGGAATAGTTGAACGATTTCACCGACAGTTGAAAGTGGCAATTGTGTGTCATGCTGACAGTGGTTGGACTGAATTACTGTCATAGGTTCTACTTGGCATACGCAATGCTTTCAAGGCTGATCTTTAAACATCTTCCGCAGAACTAGTATTCGGCGAGCCTCTCAGATTGCCTGGCGAATTCTTTGAACCCAGTCCAGATGGTCCGGTCGACATCAATGAGTTCACTGCAAGACTGCGCAATATCGTTAATACCCTAAAGCCGGTACCAACAACTAGTCACAACACCGAGAAGACATTTGTTTATAAGGATTTCAATTCTTGCGACTATGTTTTTCTTCGCGAAGATGCTTTACGAGGTTCTTTACAATCTGCTTACGCCGGTCCACATAAAGTTCTCATACGCAATAACAAAGTTTTTAAGCTGCTAGTCAAGGGTAAAGAAGTCACTGTATCGATAGACGTTCTCAAACCGGCCTACATACTTTCAGACAAACGCATTCTACACATACCACACGACTCAATTATTCCCACACCAACACCACACATTGAAACACAAGCGTAACACGCTCTAGACGCCGTGTTCGGTTTCCGGCTTATTATCGCCCATAGGATGGTCTCTGGGGGGAGTGATGTAGGCTATTCTCCTACATTTATAACATTATATGTTTATTTGTCGTATCATACTATTATATTTATTTATTAATATTAAAAAGTATTTATTTTACGTCTTTAATATTTATGTAAAATGTTATATATATCTTCGTAAAGATATTCGTTACTCCGTAGTCAGCATATCGTCCACCTCAATTGTTGAAAGTGCAGCAGAACATCTTTTTATTGAAGTCTCACTTTCTTACTTCAAAGTTCGTTTAGGCGTTATTTATAGTCCCTCTATCTCTGTTAATTATTTTTCTGCCTTTGGAAAAACTTTGGAAGAATTGATTCCGACATGTAAACATGTTATCATTATGGGTGACTTCAACACGTGTCTTCTTAAAAATGATGTTC